ACAAACTGAATAGAAAAAAATATATAAAATAGAACCTGAAACATGATGTTCCTCAGAATCTGACACTCGAATCGGGTAAAAAGTGTCTGGTTAGTAAAGACTTGATCGTCATGTGGTACGCAAGTCCGTGCAATATATTCGGTGTACTGATTGTCGGCATTACAACAGTATGGCTTGTCTCGAAAGGTTCGGTTCGTATTTGTGTCTCTGATCTGTAAGAGCATGTCTCCCTCTCGCTATCGAAGGTATTGTTGTATGACATGTTCTCCCTTTTAAAAAATAGGAATTAACCGTATTATTATCCAATTCCATCATCAATAGCTGTAGAAACACTGTGATCATCAAACTTTGGACGTATTTTGTAATTGATGTAGTATCATGGGATTTGTCTCAACTGGCTCAAATGATCTCAATTTGAGCTATATAATATTATTACAGTGGTGTGCAGTTATTACAGAAATCATGAGTTCTACCAACCGCTAAAGTAAATAGTTAGATGAATACATAAGCATCATCTAAACAATAGTTTTACCGGGATTAGGTGATGTTGTTGGACTTGTAGCTGGACTGGTTAGAGGAGAAGTTGCTGGACTGGTTACCGGAGAAGTTATTGGACTAGTAACGGGTGATGTTACTGGACTAGTTACTGGAGATGTTACTGGACTGGTAGAGGGAGATGTTACTGGACTAGTTATTGGAGATGTTACTGGACTGGTTACCGGAGAAGTTATTGGACTGGTAACGGGTGATGTTACTGGACTAGTTACTGGAGATGTTACTGGGCTGGTAGAGGGAGAGGTTACTGGACTTGTAGAGGGAGATGTTACTGGACTAGTTACTGGGCTGGTAGAGGGAGAGGTTACTGGACTGGTAACAGGAGATGTCAATGGACTGGTAACAGGAGATGTTACTGGACTTGTAACCGGAGACGTTACTGGACTGGTAACCGGAGACGTTAGAGGACTGGTTACAGGAGCAGTTACTGGACTCGTAACTGGTGATGTAGTTATTCTGAAAAGCAAATACACCTTGTATACTTTAGTATCAAATTCCTTGTTCCATCAATAAATTTATTAAGGGAGAAGCCGAGGACAAGAATAATGGCAGGAAACATTGGTCTATTTTTAATTCACATGCCAGTCCCTCTAGCACTAAGCCATGCTCCATATATCTAGCAAACTGTGTAAGAGTATGAATTCTCATTGTGAGAACTTCCACTTAGAACAGGATAACAACCAAACCTTATTCTCCAAAACCTCAATAAAATTCAGATTTAAAAAAATCTTATTGGACAACCAAACTAAATTTAAAATCAATTTTAGTGATTGACCAATCAGATGACTGGAACACTAAAAGCATTGCAAGTCAGGAATAAGGCCCCTGAATCTTATTCCATACAGTAAGGTTTATGTAAACGATGCATACCCTCCACAAACACCACCTTCAACAGTTGTACAAGTACCAGTTACAGAATCAAATATCAATTCTCCAGTACAAGTTTGTGGTAGTGATAATCCATTAGCACATATAATATAATCAACACAACTTCCACAAATAGCAAAGATTCCTGTGGCTGATGTATCCGTACAACTGCTGATACAAACTGAATGGAAAAAAAATACAACCGATAAAATAGAAATAAAAATGTTAATTGTTTCACGATGTGCGACAACTAAAACAGAACCTGAAACAAACTCTTCCTCAGAGTTTCACGTTGTGCGACCTTCGGATATCTAGACAACCCGAAACATGTTGATGTCCGATATTCAGACATCGACTTGGACCACTGCAGTTGTCTGCAGATCGCAAGGCGTCACACTCTGACGAACAACATGTTTCGGGATCTGTTCTGACAATTCTCTATCGCTCTTCAATTGATGTATTGATCATTATTTAAAAGTTCAACAATCGTCACTTCCACAGATAAAGTGGACAGCAAAACTAATAAATATTTAAAATATGTGCTTAATCTGAAAAAAGTCATACCGGGATTTGGTGGAGATGTTACTGGACTTGTAACAGGCGACGTTGGTATCCTGACAAATTAAAAAACAATTAATCAAAAACAACGAATATACTGTAGAAATTATATCGCCGTACGATGAATGCAACAATGTTTCTCTATGTCCGTCGGACCTGTATATGTCAGATTGCATCGTTATTCTGTCTTTTTGCACCGTCAATCGACGTGGATTAAGGTTTAAGTTCCTACCGTTACCATCGTTACCCTTAATAGATCAAAGATAATAAACCACTATAGCGCGTGAAGCAGACCACTCCTGCTCTTTTCGAAACACCTGATGGTACTTCTCTTTTGCGGAGTCCACTACTATAAACTTTTACTTTCGATTTTGGGCTTATTTGGATGATATTTTGATTAAGGGAATACTTTTACTTGTACGGATTTTTTTTCTTATTCCATACAATGAATTATACGTGTATCATACATACCCTCCACAAACACCTCTTTCAACGGTATTACAAGAGCCACTAACAGCATCAAATATCAACCCCCCAGTACAGGTTTGTGGAATTGCTGTTGCACCAATACACGTAACATAATCGACACAACTACCACAGATAGCATATATTCCCAATGCCGTGCCCACAGAACAACTGTTAATACACTCTGAATGGAGAACAATGTGACGGATTAGATATAGATTGTACAGCTTTGTAATTTTGGCGAGACAAGCATGCATGAGCAGGGGCCTATCTGGAAAACGATCGAGGACACGAAAAATAGAGCGAGTGAATAATTCAAGTGTTCTTTCATCAATTGTTTTGGGAGCTATACCATTTTCAAAGCGATGTCAACAGACCCGGTGAGACGTTTTGTTGTCTGTGCTTATTCGATCGCTAATTTAAAAAAAAAAGAATTCAATACATGTAATTTAAAGCATTATACCCAGAACTGATGGCGAAGTTACGGGTGATGTTACAGGACTGGTAGAAGGAGATGTTGCTGGACTGGTTATCGGAGATGTTGTTGGACTGGTAACAGGTGATGTTGGTATTCTGGCAAGTAGAAATGGGAAATTAAATAGGTCAAAAATAATAAACCAGATTCAGCTTTGCAATCACATCAAAATGAACTAGTTGTAGCACCTGCTTTCCTTTTAGATTCTTTTTGGCTTTCATGTTAAGTTATTCAAGTATGGTTCACAGAGAAATTGCTGATAATAGACCGTGGTTTTCCTCGAACACACATTTTAAGCGATTAATTTCTTACAAGCATCAAAGGGAAAAAATGCAATTTTTGTTACGATTACACTTGTACTATACTTACCCTCCACAAACACCTCTTTCAACGGTATTACAAGAGCCACCAACAGAATCGAATATCAATCCACCAGTACAAGTTTGTGGAATCGCTGTTGCACCAATACACGTAACATAATCGACACAGCTACCACAGATAGCATATATTCCCAATGCCGTGTCCACTGAACAACTGTTAATACACTCTGAATGGAGAACAATGTGACGCATTAGTTGTACATCTTTTAAATATTGGTGTGGTGAGCAGAGGCTAATCTAGAAAATGCCCGAGGACAGGGTGAAGCAAAAATAAGAGGTGTCTCTCCGATGAGGCTGCCAGAGGCCCCAACGGCAACGAATTTCGGATGGCCCGCGATGAATTTAGAGTGCTAAATTTATACTTCAAAATAAGACCTTTCTTATGGGAAGGGGGCATGGCACATCACCTAAACACGCCACTGTGTTTAAGTTAAAAATTGAGGTGTTCTTCAATCTTCTAACCCGGGGACATCAAAGTAGACTGCTTTGCATACTTTGATTATTTGATTGCGATTGAAAGTAGCGAGAAAGTAAGCACTCCACCAGTTTCATCATCTTTAAGCGAATGCTTAATACTCAATCCCTTCAAATTAAGAAATTTATGATGTTACCAATTTCTAAAAATGTTTATACCCAGAGTTGATGGTGAAGTAGCTGGAGATGTAACTGGACTAGTCACGGGAGACGTTACTGGACTGGTTGAGGGAGATGTTGCTGGACTGGTTACAGGAGATGTTGGTATTCTGGCAATTAGAAATGAAAATTTGAGTAAAGGCACAAAGTATACTGTAGTAACAAGTTTGTCCGACGTCCTTATTGTAGAAATACCATGTATGCAACGATTGGCCTCGATATGTCGACCGGACGAGCATGTGTCAGATGAACTCGCAGAACACGTACGGCCATCGAGAAAATATTTTGTTTTGAATTCTCAACTCGTCAGGTCAAATGTAATACACCTGATTCTTATTTCATCAATTAAATCATACTTATATCATACTTACCCTCCACAAACACCTCTTTCAACGGTATTACAAGAGCCAACTACAGAATCGAATATCAATCCACCAGTACAAGTTTGTAGAATTCCTGTTGCACCAATACACGTAACATAATCGACACAACTACCACAGATAGCATATATTCCCAATGCCGTGTCCACTGAACAACTGTTAATACACTCTATATGGGAAACAATGTGACATATCAGTAAAGACAAGAGAGACATTCTTGAGCTCAGATTGAATTAGGAGCGGCAGGTAGAAAGAATATAATATATAGAGGACTGCGATGGCACAGATACTTTTCTGCGAAATTGGTGGTCAATCAGCTATGAAAAATCAAGATAACCAATGCCGTTTGATACTTATTTCTGAAAGAGTTTAAGTTATCATAATACCTAGCTCTGATGGCGAAGTATTAGGAGATGTTGCCGGACTGGTAACGGGGGATGTTGCGGGACTGGTTACAGGAGATGTTGCTGGACTGGTTACAGGAGATGTTGCTGGACTGGTAACAGGAGACGTTGCTGGACTGGTAACAGGAGAAGTTACTGGACTGGTAACAGGTGATGTTACTGGACTGGTAACAGGTGATGTTACTGGACTGGTAGCAGGGGATGTTATTGGACTGGTTACGGGAGAAGTTACTGGACTGGTAACAGGGGATGTAACTGGACTGGTAGCAGGAGATGTAACTGGACTCGTAGCAGGGGATGTTACTGGACTGGTAGCAGGAGATGTAACTGGACTGGTAGCAGGGGATGTAACTGGACTGGTAGCAGGTGATGTTACTGGGCTGGTAGCAGGTGATGTTACTGGGCTGGTAACAGGAGATGTTGGTATTCTGGCAAAATATTATCGGATCAACATTGAATATAGGGAGTTATACAATCAAAAATGCATATGTGCATTACATGGACTTAGAGGCGAATGAAAACTAATCAGCTGCCTTATATATTGATATTATAATGGTCACTATGTTAACCTTTTTTATTATTTTTTTTTTAAGCAATTAAGTTCAAATCAGACCATTTTTTCAGACTTATTTACATACGAAGCACGGGCATTTATAATTATAGATTGAACAAGGCGAAAATCAGTCAGCTAACTACCATTAAATTAGAATACAAAGCATTTTATCGGATGATACTACCAAGTCTACAAATTGTTCAATGTATTAAAGTTAGTAATTTAAATCAATATTTGAGCATGCCTGTCTTCTGTATTCAACATTTTTTGTGCGGTGTTTTTTTCTATTTTCTATTCATGCAACCAACAGTTTTTTCCCTTTTTTTTTCTTCACAATGTCAAGATATTACAAACTCAGTCTGATACCTCGACTGCAGCGATTGGATTGGATTATACGCTAAAGTATACAGCCAATCGACAGAGAGTATGTTACCATCATAAATAAGACAATTTTATGATTAGATACTTCCAGAATATTTATTAA